GGGGCCCAGCCCGGGACTCCCACGAGTTGTGATTCTTCCAAAAATATAAACACCAAGCAAACGCTGCAGACAAAACTCCCATTTGTTTCTAAAATACAGTACTGAAAGTGATGCATTGTTGAAGATAAAACGGAGGATAACGTGGTCTGTCTCCAATGAATGTCTCCCGAGAGCATTAATGACATTCCAAATGATAGTTCCTGCTTATCTTTCAATTAATCATATATACCTTGAGCAACTGGGGCCATATTGATTGCGGGAAAGGATGAGCGGAATAGCCCAGAGCCGCCGTGCTCTCTGCCGGTCTTCAATTAATAATATTTTATAAGTGCAAAGCTCTCTTAGAAAAACACGTCCGAGCCTTTCTTAAATTTGGCACTCTGGAATCCAACTCCAGCCTGGACAATTCAAAAGACGACCAGGAACTTCTATCAGCGTGATGCTGATAAATCTAATTTGAGTTATCTTTCTCAGAGGAAAGGGGGAGGAGGGGTGTTACATTTATTTATAGGATTGTTCTTACTGTGGTTCATAGCGAAGCTCGGGTCAGTTGCCTGACCTACTCCGGACAGCCAGCAAAAAAAAAAAAAAAAAAGGGACACTTAGTGGTTACCAATACTAAATAAATCTGTCGTGTTGAGAAATTGAATAACCTCCAAATGATTTTGCACAGCCTCAGTTTCCTCAATGAGTTTCCGAGTTAAACAATGCCCCTTCGAACATTCTACTTTATATAGTCACTTCCAGCTCTAACATTCCATGTTCCTTTCAGTCCTAACGTTCTTTGTTCTGTTTTAAGATCCTATATTCTACGGTGCTGTAGTATTCGTGCTGTGTTACTTTGATTTCTAATTTTAAAAAAACATTCTACGTTCTAAGAACCCTTTCAGTTCTAACATTCTATGTTTTTAGCTTTTAACATCCTCTGTTCTAAGGCCCTTTCCAGCACTAAACCTTTTAGAGTGCTACGAATCTATAGGAATAAATTAGAGAATTCTGGATAGCTTTTTCTGATGTGCTTGCCCTTTCTAGGAAGAGATGCAAGTTGTTCATGACATTTTCTGAGCAGCGAATTTATTTCTACTGGATGATGAGTCCACGTGATTCATAAAGCCTGTCCCTTCCTCCTTTCTGAGGAAAGAACGCCTAGTCCTCTACCTGCTGTGACAAGTTTAAAGACATATTGGTTCTTCTGAGGTCTCTAGTAGTTACGTATTTAAGGGGCTTGTAAAAGAAATTGAGAAGTTTTTTTGGTGTTCTTATTTCTTTCTTTTTTTCCCCCTTCAGGACAAAAGGACTACGAACTTTAAACAAATCATGGGAAATGCATCCTAGCCTAAATGGCTTTAAACCTCGTTGGAGTGAGTTGGCCTCCTGAGGAAGGGAAAACCTTTCCCAAGAAGGTTCATTCAGAAACACTGGATTCCGGACGCTCAAGCTTCGGCTGCCACGCTGTCCGTCCCCCATTAAATGGTAATATTTCAGGCGTCTGCGCCCGCTAATCTTTCAAACTGTCAACGCGAGCCCAGGCCGAAGAGTTCGAGTCATTTCAAAAAAGCTCCCAGGATCCCAGCTCCCCAGCCCTTTTTCCGCAAGAGTTTTAATTGAATCGGATATTGCTCTTCTGCCAGAAATCAGCGCCTCGGTGACATACACGTTTCCCTCCTCCCTCTCTCCCCCAAAACACTCTCCACAAAGGTCAGGAAGTTCAGGTTAAGGCAAGCCTTAAGGGGTTAACGCAACTGTAGGCAGTCCAGGGACAACGCGTGTTTCTCCACACACTGGGTTGGAAGAGGAATAAAGAGCAAAAATAATCCCTTAGAAACGTGGATAATTTAGATAAGTGTGAGTTATGGGGAGGCTAGGGCTGGACGGGCATTTAGGCCACACTTGAAAGGCAAGAGAGAAACGAAGGTAGAATCAAACCATGATCATCAGAAAGAGACAGAGAAAGCTTTTTGCTTTTTTTCCTTTAAAAAATGCATGTCTCAGGCAATCTGGCCCACTTGAGAGTGGGTTCTTGAAATGGGGAAACAGGGAGCTGACCTGTGACTTCTGCTCTCTGTAAGTTGCAAGCAGAGCTAAAGAACAAAGCTCCCTTGGTCACAGATGAGCAGAGAAACTCTAGACATTGTAGAAGAGAAACCAGAAAAAGACCCAGTTTCATAGGATTTCCAGATAGAAGTGATCTTACAGACAATTCAATACAACCTCCTAGTTTTCGAGGCCCAGAAAATTACTTGTCTAACCAAGGTCTTACATTTTGTAAATAGAAAAGGCAAAATTTGCCTACAAATCCAGTCTTCCTGCCCATTACACAGGCTGTCCATCTTTATCAACAAGTTTTGAATCCTGACTCAAAGGACCCTTCCAAAAGGGGCTACCCTGAGCAGATCACTTCTGTTTTCTAAGTCTAAATTGCCTAGTCTGTAAAATGGGCAGAGCAGTATTTGCCCTTTCCTCTCAACCTAGAATGTTCTAGAGAAAAGACTTCATAAACAGTTCTGGGAAAGAAACTGGGCCCAAGCTAGTTTTCCACTTCTGACTCGAAAAGACCAGGGGAATGAACTGGAAAAAAAAAATACTACCTTGGCCCAACATTAACATAGTCAGTGGCCTTGGAGAAGGGTCTTTAGGCCAGAAAGTGATTTCATTTTTTTTAGGGAATAGCAGTAGCAGAGAAAGGATAGGAACTTTCTTTGCCCAAGCTCAAGTTTATCTGAGGGTGGGAGAACAGGAAGCCTTCAATCACTGAGTCACACAGACTGTCTGAACAGGAAAGGCTCTTAGAGATCGTTTAGTCCAGCTTTCTCATGCTTAAGATGGAGAAATTGAGACTCCGAAAGGAGGAATGACTTGCTTAAGGTCATACAGAGCCAAGACTTCAGGTCATCAAATCCAGTGCTTCCCTGTTTTCTGATATCTCCATTTGCTTACCAACTAAGGCAAGATTATAGCTGCTGATTGATTTTTCCTGGGTCTTTTAGGACCAACAGTTGCCAGCTGAGCTACATTTCAAGATATTCCTCCTTTTAAAAAGTGGTATTTTGAAGCTTCTAGCTATCTACAGGAAAATGTCCTCTTACCTAACTGAGTGTTCAGAGCAAACTTCGGCCCGAAAAACCTTTAGAAATGTGAGCTAATATGTCGCTGCTATTATTTAGCATTGAAAGGCTGCCTTGGTGCAGTCAATAAAACTGACCTGGTTCCAAGTCCTGCTTCTGACACATGTTGTCTGTGTGACTTTGGGCAGGTCACTTAACCTCTTATTGTCCCCAGGAAACTCTTCAAGATGCTGCCATAGAGGAAGTTTCCACACCAGAAATCCTCCCCACCCCACATTTATGAAAACATTTGGCTATATATATATATTATATAATATATGTGTGTGTATGCACACATGTATGTACATATGTATTATGTATAGACCATTAGATGGTCCTGTGAAGCTGAAGATCTAATCTGAAATAGGAAAACTTGCCTGGCTCTCAGAAAGATAAGTTGCCTGCTGCTTCCCTCTTTCTGGCGCCCTTCTTTCTCCCAGCCGCCAGTAGAATACCACAGAACAGGGCCACCCAGACTCCTTTTTTCCCCTGCCCTGGCTCTGTGGGGGGTGGGGGGTGGGGAGGAGGGAATGAGGGGAGAAACAGTGCTTCTGCTTGGAGAGTCCTATCCAACTCCTAGAGTGCAGGTACCAAAGCCTGCACCTAGGAAAGAGTCCTCCTCACGCAGCTGACACTCAGTGTTGTATATTTGAACTGATGTGCGGCCAAGAGACCCTATACACAACCACTTGAAGGAGTTCACATTTTCTCCTTCCTCCAGTAGATTCTGAGGCTGAGTAGCACATTTCCCCAAGCTACAAACAGCTTACAAAGAAACCAGGAGACTATTGAGCCAGGCAATAGGGAGTCTATCACTTCCTCTCTTCCTTTCTCCATTCAAGAAAGACCTATTCTCTGTTCATCCACCTGCATCCTCTTTGACATTAGTTTCTTTGTTCACTTCTAGATCAGGGTAGGCTTGGTTTCTTGGACCGGGTTTCTTGGTCCAGGTTTCTTGGTCATCCTTAGGAGGATGAAAAGATTCCACAATTGAGTGGAAGCAGAGTGTAAATGTGTGGAGGGACAGCTTAGTCGAAGTTCCCTAAGTCACTGAACTGCCACTATCATAGGAAGACTAGTGTCCTCAACGGTCAACCCCAAACACTGACAAGTACAATCCAAGAGGCACCTTCTGAAGCTGCCTCCTCTTTCTATTCCACTGTCCCTGCACCTTGTTTCTTACCTCACTACTCCGTAACTCCAGGATGCAAAGGGCAGTGAGACAGGAGGATCTAAGAAGGGTGGCTCAATTCCTGTTTAATCCAACAAGACCAAGAGAAAGGACAAAAGGAAACTATGTTCCCTCTGGTGTAGTGGAAAGAACACTCTTTGGAAGTCAAAAAGCTTGGATTCCAGTCCTGACTCCCCTACTTATTTTGTGGGTGATTCTGGACCTCTGATTTCTCTTCTTTAAAATGTGGGAGGCGATATTGTGTGGACGACACGGTTTTCTAAGCTCTGATATTCCTTAAGGCTGTGATATCCCTCCCTTCTCTTTACTGAAAATTCAAGGGGTTCATTTAAATCAACTAGCCCCACACCCACACGCTACCTCCCCCCACCCCAATTCTGCTTCGCTATTTTGATAGCAAATGGTGCTCTGATAGTTTCTAAAATAGAACGATCCCTTGTGTTGCTTGCTCGGGGCATTCAAATTCCGTTGAGTTTGATTTTTTTCACTTTGAAGAATCAGGTTCTGGGTTACATTTCAGGGGGAGGGAGGAGAAAGGGGTGCGGCCCCTTTAAAAAAGTTGGGATGTTTTTGGAGCCGTATTACTATATTAGGTGACAAGAAACTCCTCATCTATCATGTCATCACTGGCTGATTGACCAATGGCAAGCTAAAGTCACCCAAAAAGTGGTCTAGTCCCTCCTTCTTTTCCCTTATGGTCTGTCCTACCTGCTCTCCCCCCTGCCCATCCGAAGTCAAGGCTAAGGCTGGAATGATGTGGGCTCCCCGGGCAGGGCTAGGGGCGCCTCTCCTGTGGGCGGGCTGCGGATACGCGGCCTTCTGAGCCCGTGGGGCGCCGCCCACCATGTTCGCCAGTCCTGCGGGCACCAGCACCCCGTTCTCCGTCAAGGACATCCTCAACCTGGAGTTGGAGCAGCGACAGGAGCAGCAGCAGCAGGAGGAGGAGGAGGAGCGGAGGCGCCGAAGCCTGGGGGCCATGGAGCTGCCCGCGCGCCTAGAGGCCGGCCTGCCCCCTGCGTCCTGCATGCTGGCCGCCTTCAAGCAGGAGGCTTACGGCGGCCCGGAGACGGCCGGCCTCCAGGAGCTGGCTCTGACCGACGGGCTGGGCCCGGCCAAGCATTGCCCGGCTTTTCCGGCTGCCTTCTACGGGAAGAGCTACGCGCACATGGAGCCGGCCAAGGAGCTCAAAACTGACAAGAAAGGTAAATAGCGCACAGTGGGATGTGCGGACAAATACCCTCAGCCCCCGGGTCAGACTAGGGGCTACCGGAACCTGCCTGGGCTTCACTACCACTGAGTATTTCTGCCTCGGAGCCAGAGCCTGCTAGAATCGTCCGTAGTTGAATTGGGGAGGGAAGTGGAGAGTGTGGGGGAGGGGAAAGAAAAAGAGAGAGGGATGATCTATTGTCTTCTAAGTAGCGGGTCGAGGGGGTGAGAAAGAGGATCCCCCTCACACTTTGACTACTTGGAGTCCATTTTAATTCTAAACCCCAAAGTTTGCAAAACAGGCCTGGAGAAAACCAGAGAGCGACAAACAGAAAGAAGAAAAGATAGAAAGACGGAAACTGGGGGCCAGAGGGAAGACTATAAGTTTCACTCTGACCGAGGAGAGGCGCTGGGTTTCACTCTGATTTGCAGGGGATGTGGAGGAACTCGGAGGTGGGGGGGGGGAACCTAACTGGAAATTTTAATCAGGTCCAGTCTAGAGCAATTCTTGGTCCTACATTTATAGTGTATGTTACTCACCTACCATCTTTTATATCTTTGTACATCTTAAAATCTATGAAATGGGGAAAGAAAGCGCAAGAGGGCACCCTCTTTTTCCTTTCAACTCGTTTTGCACAATGTGCACAGCTTTGTGGATGCTCTGTGATCATATGATATATACTGAATAAGACAAAACACTAGCCGAGGGGGTCTTCTCTCCATAAGCACCATCTCCCCTAAGTAAGTCAGTTCTACTTGGTGTAGTTAGATTGTATCGTGGAAGCTGCTGGAACCGAAGTCATAAAACCTGGGTTCCAGCCGCAGTTCTGCTATCTACAGGTCATGTGACCTTGGGCAAGCCACAGTTTTATCAGCAGTAAAACGAGGATAATGTTACTTGTATTGTTTCCATCAGAGCTGTGTTATAGGAATGATATTAAATGAAGTTTCTAAAGCGCCCTATGAACTATGAGGCCTATATAAATGTGAGATCTAGTATGGAGGCTCCGAGGAAGAGGAACCTAGCAGTGGTAGAAGCAGAAGGGGGAGGGGGGAGGGCAGAGGAAAATCGTTTAAGAATTGTTTTTGGATAGTATACATTCTTGGACGGCCCCGGGTGACCTCTGGAGCCCTGTTATACTGCAGGGTTTACATTGCCATGTTTTAGAATAGTCCAGCCCTGTCGTTTCCTAATGTGCTGATTGAGAAAAAGAGGCAAAAACCATTGCCCCCCCCACCTTTGGTTGGTCCGAAGTACCAAGAGGCTTACCCACCGAGCGACCGACCAGCTATCACAGGGTACACAATGTGGCCCGTGTTGGGTTTGCCTCATATCATCCAGTCCTTGGTGACCCCTGATCGCCAAGTGATAATTCTCCTCTCATCCCAGGCCAAATCAAACCCCCAGGTCCAGAGAGATAGCACTGAGGGTCGGCAAGGCCAGGCGAGGGCTTCTGGCCTCGGAGGCTGAAAAACTCAAAGCACCCTGAGCAGATCTATAATTTCTTCGTAAAGAGCGGGTTCACAAAACTGCAGCGGAAGGCTTTGCATCCTCAGCGTGCGGCAGTGAAAAGCGAATTGATTTTGGAGTCAGCATATCTAGAACCGAATCACTGGAGGTTCTGCCACCAATTTACTGTGAGATCGTGAGCAACTCGAGTCCCCTCCATGAGACTCAGTTTTCTCGTCCGTAAAATGGGGATAACAATACTTGCATCACCCATCATTAGGTCATCGTTCTGAGGAAAGTGCTCTGGAGACTTCAGAGCAAATGTGAGCTTGCTCACTCCAAAAACCATTCCGCAGCCTTGGTTTCCTCACAGAAGAGGTGAATAACGACACATAGACCCTTAGACTAGGGGCAAACAAGGCATCCCGAGGATAGATAACAGTTGTTAGACAAAGATTTTGGTTTGCAATCATAGGGTCCCATATAAATGGGAGTTACTAGTTTTGTCCCCAGCTAGCAAGGCAGGGGGGCTGGAAAGGTAGAAAGAGGACGGCGGGACTATCTGAATAAGAGCAGATTTGAGACCACATCCAACTGCAAGAAAGTGGTCAGCAACATCTCCTTTCCGAAGGGATGAAGTCTCAGGCCTCCTGGTTTCTGCCGAAGACTAATTAATTAAGTGTTTAGACAGGTTATTTTCTCAACTAGTGGCGTTCAAAATACACTTTTTTCTTAGGCTCGAAAAAGACTTTAGAAGTCATCTCATCCAACCTACTTTTTTTTTTACGGTTGAGAAAACAAGAGTCCTAGAAAGGGGGAGTCTCTTGCCAAAATCAGAGATAGTAAGTGATAGAACCGGGATTCGAACTCTGATCCTCTGACTCTTCAGCGGGAGCACTGGGGTGAGAACGTTCGAAGTGGAACAATTTTTTCCTTTTTCTCTCTTTTTCTTTCTTTTTTTCTTTCACTTATTTCTTCCATCCTTTCTTCTTTTTTTTTCTTTTTGTATTCCAGCGGACTGTAAAGCCTAATGGAAAGCGCACGAGACTTGGCAAAAAAACCTAGGTTCGGATTCTCCTCTGCCATTTACTAACTAGTTTCCCCTGCACAAGTCACTTTCCGGTTTCGATGTGATCTCAGTTTCCTTCGCAGTAAAATTGAAGAGGTCCTTCCCAGCTCTGAAAAGACACTAAGATCTTTTCTAGCCTGGTTTCTAAGGTTCCTCTGCCCATCCACAGATCTACCATTCTGTATAGGAATGCCCACAGTTGTCCATGGACTGTGTTAGTTTCCAGTCTGGCTTCCTAGATCTGAGCAAGGTTTCCCTTATGAAGTGTTAGCCATTTAAAAACGAAACAGATGGGGGGGAGCTTTCCACTAATCAGAACACTCCCCATAAATCACTTTTTTTAAAAAAGTTTTTTTGAACATACTTCCCAGCCACCACTTGCACCATCCAACTGTCCTTTCCACTACTCCTGTCTAAGTCTTTTCCCTCTTTGTGCTTTGCAGATCTTTGTTCCCTGCAGAAGAACCTGGAGTTGGAGAAAAAGGACTTAGAAGACCCCGATCGCCCAAGGCAGAGAAAGAGGCGGAAACCCCGGGTTCTCTTCTCTCAGGCCCAGGTCTATGAACTGGAGAGAAGGTTCAAACAGCAGAAATACCTGTCGGCTCCGGAAAGAGACCACTTGGCCAGCGTGCTGAAGCTAACCTCCACGCAGGTCAAAATCTGGTTCCAGAACAGAAGGTACAAATGTAAAAGACAGAGACAGGACCAGACTCTGGAGATGGTGGGCCTCCCCCCGCCTAGGAGGATAGCCGTGCCAGTGCTGGTGAGAGACGGGAAGCCCTGCCTGGGGGACTCTTCTCCCTACAGCTCCCCCTACAACGTCAGCATCAACCCGTACAGCTACAATGCCTACCCGGCCTATGCCAACTACAGCGGCCCAGCGTGCAACCCTAACTACAACTGCGGTTATCCCTCAGTGCAGGCCGTGCAGCCCTCGCCAGCGGCCAACAACTTCGTGAACTTCAGTGTCGGGGACTTGAATGCAGTGCAGACGTCCATTCCGCAGAGCAACGCGGGGGTCTCCACTTTGCATGGGATCCGGGCCTGGTAGGAAGAGCGGTCTCTGGCTTTCCAGGAGTGGAGAAAAGGGAGGGAAAGGGGTCCAAGTGCGGGTTTCCAGGCTCTCGCGACCCCCCCGACGCCCCTCTGCTCACCACCCTCCCCCATTACCCATCTGACTGTAAAGGTAGGGAGGCTGTGGGCTGCTGGAGAAAGCGGGATGGGAAGCCTGTCGGTGTAACCCCGGAAGCTGCAGCTAACCTGGACTGCTAGAGAAAAGAGGACCAGGAGGGGAGGGAAAGGAAAGGGGCCTCAGGAGAATCCTACTGCCCCTTTACGTTGTTGACCTGGGACTCTCTGGACAAAGCGTCGACCCCAGGCTAGCAGCTGGGTGAATGAGGTCGTCCTTCCAGTAAGTTACGAAGTACTGGACGGAAGGATTTCTATCCGTGCCTACTTGGGCCCCCAGCGACGGATAGATAGGAAAAACTCCCTGCCTGTCGGCGGAGTGCACGGCCGCCAGAACCAAGAACCAGAGAGAGGCACGTCAACCCCCTTCCCGGAGGCCTGGTTACAGCCCCTGCAGCCCCTGCAATCCTTCAACCCCTGCCTCCTAGCTCCCGGGAGGCTCTCTCAGCTCTCAGGGTCCAGGGCATTTGGGCACCAACACTACCATTCAGAAAGATCATATTCCGTGGCCAGACATCGAGGCTGGGGTCTATGGGTCCCCCTTCCCTCCAACCAAAATCAGTGAATTCGAAGGGAGCCAGACCTCCTTCCACCCCATCTAAAATCAGCAGGTTCTTAGAAAGTAAGGCGCCTAGGGGAAGGAGAGAGAGCGGTATTAGCATTCTGAGGCCAGAGTCACCTTGTCAGATATCAGGTGGCATAATACCCGGAAACTGTTCCCCCCAAAAAAATTTGACCCTCCCTAGCTCGCCATCACCTCTACTCTTCATGCCCCTCCCCCAATGAGAGCGGCTGCTTCCGATCTTGGTGCCTGACCTGCTGGAGATATGAGCTCACCCTCTCTGATTCCGCTGCTGGTCCTATTTAAGTGTTTTCTTATTGTTTGTAAGAAACGAGACCCGAACCACCCCGCTCCGACCTGTCATTAAAGAGCGTGAACGAACCCTGCGGTATCTCCTTTTTTCAGCTCCCAACCGCCTCCTTCAGTAGACATGAGTAATTGCGGGTATCAGAAGCAGCTACAGTGCCTCTAGATCACTAAGAAGTACAATAACGGTATAATTCCAATTTAGAAAACTCTTAACGCATCTTTTTCATTGTAGTCATGACAACCCAATGAGGGAGGTGGTGCGAGTATTACCTTACAGAAGAGAAAGACTGAAGCTCAGAGCGGAGGGATAACTGTCCCAAAGTCCCACGACTAGTGTCAGCTGCGATTCCACCGTGTTTGCTGGCTCTATCCCTGGAGTTATTTCCACTACACTACTCTCCACCCCGCCCCAATTCCAACATTTTGTAGCTTCTTCTCCGACTTCTATTGATTACTCGCTAATCTTCCAGACACCGCTCTGCTTTCTTACCCTTCTGGGCCTCCCTGGAGGCCCCCGCCCTTTTAAGTCTAGGGCCAGGGGTGCGGGAACTTGCGCGGAGGCCACAGTGGCTCTCTAGGTCTTCAAGTGCGGCCCTTTGACTGAATCCAAACTTCACAGAACAAATCTCCTTAATAAAAGGATTTGTTTTGTAAAACTTGGACTCAGTCGAAAGGCTACACCCAAAGGCCTAGAAGGCCCCACGTGGCCTGGAGGCCTCAGGTTTCCCACCCCTGGTCCAGGCTTGCGAAAGCTGAGTGATCTCACGGGGAGTTTCTCTTTGCTTTCCCTCACCCCCTTATTTTTATCGATATCTTTTGTTTCACACCATTTTTTCCTACTTGAATATATTCTCCTCCCTCTCTCCAACCCAGCGAGCCATCCCTTGTAACAACGAACTAGAGACTCCCATTCCTGAGGACCGTTAGAATTCCAAAGGGACAAAGAGGGGATTGCCTCCCTTCATCTTTTCTGTGACGTCGTTCCAGGGCCGGACTCTTCCAGGGGTGGTCTCCCTAGGCTCAAAACGCAACTATCCTCTTTGGAGCTAGAACCTCCAAAACTCTTTGGGAGTACAGTCGTGTTACTGCAGCTTTGTCTTTAAAGAGCCCAAGCAGGGGTCTGGGGCTGGCCAACGCCATTAGTGGGTTATTCTTCTACCAATACTGTTCCATTTATAAGACTAAACAAGAAAAAATTGCCATTTTACAGAGGAATTGTAGAAAGGCAACTAAACAGGCAGAGACCGACTGGAATCCGTTTTGTTTTGTTTTGAACAAATTCAAGGCTCTTTCCATCACCAAAGCTGTCTCTAGCTCGCCCTTCTTCTCATCCTCTCCCCTTCAGTTTTCGGGACTTCCCTAAGTCCTAGAACTGTTACTCCTTCCCCCCCATCTTCATTAGTGTATATATATTTATGTATGTGTATGTATATTACACACGTGCACATATACATATACGTTTGCCTAGCTGCAGTGAATAGACCAACTTAATCTTCATGTGAGTCGGTTGGAATCTGTCAATCAGTTGATAAGTATTTGTAGGGCTCTGACTAAATGCTAGGTACTTGGGCTGCAAACAATTTCGGCCCTCTAGGAGGCTAAACTCAAAATTTGAGCCCGGAGGAAATAAAGGTTTTTAAATTCACTCAAAGATGAATCGTTTCGGCCCCAGACACTTGGCTATCAGCCTCCAAACTCAGTGTCTTGACCAGGTACAGAGTTCAGAAGCTCGACAGGTCCAGCTTCCTATGTGCAAGATCCTAGTCGCGCCCCAGCTCTGGCGGCTCCAAGGCTGAGTTGTTTCACTAATGTCCAATCACCAAGAGCATTGAATTCCATGCGAAAGGGGTCCTTACAGAAAGAGGTCTGCTAGTCCAAAAGTCTCATTTTAAAGGAGAAACTGAGGCTAATGACTTTCCGCGTGATAATAGCTCACATTTACATAGCACCTTCAGGTTTGTAGAGCATTCTATCCTTCACTTTAGAGGCGAAGCTGAGACAATTAAGTGACTTGCCTCAGGTCGCATAACTTCTAGCAAGTAAAAATTGGGAGTGGACTCAGCTCTTCTAACTATAAGGCCTGCGTTCTTTCCACCACACCACGTGCCCTGTAGTCCACTCCACTTGGAGGAACTGGGGCTCTAGGAATGCAGATTGCGATTAAGGACTAGTACCCTGAAGGGGCTTGGTGAAAGGTTATGGTTTTGTTTTTGTTTTTGTTTTTTAAAGAGGTGATTCGGTGTTACTCCGTCTCTTGTTAAGCCGGAAGGCAGACTGACAGTGCGAGTGATATTCAGGCTGGAATCTTATGTACTGAGAGGATTTTAAGAAATTCTGCCGTTTGAGGAGGAGCTGAGTCCCTGGCAGGGCCGATCTACTTCAGGGTAGAGGGTTCGAGGAATTCCTGGGAGCTGGGCCAAGGAAGACAACGAGAATGGGGTAAGGGAGAATAGAGGAAAAGCTCGGCTCCGGAAGACCGGCAGTTCTCGGCTCCTCAAAAACCCCTATCAACTGTCAATTACTGGGGCGAGAAACAACAAACAGTTTAATTCAGGGCAGTCAAAACATCCTCCCGGTGCCTCCGCCGACGATAAGGAGATTCCCAGGGACTAGGCTGCAAGCGGTCGCGCTCCTCTGCCTCAGCTATCTGGACCATCAGTAAACAGAGGAGGAGACTGGACGGCTAGGGCCCGGGGACACGGCCAGAGAGCCGCCAACTCCCTAAACTTAGGCCAGGCAGGTGGGCAAGGCAAGGACGCGAGACCCTGTGCACTGCACTGCTTATCACCGGAATAATATCAGCTAATTCCCAGTGAGGCCCCAAACTCCTGGTTTGAAAACGCTGCAAAAAAAAAAAAAAAAAGGTCTATCCCCAGCTCCCAAGAGTCAGAAGTCAATCTCCGGCCAGAATCCGGCTGAACCCTAGGCCGCTGCCCACAGTGCCTGGAGGTCAGGAAGGGAACTAATACGAGATTCCTACGAAGTGAGAAAGAGTGACAAGTACTTTCCACAAGGCCGCTGGCCTGTGCCGGTTTCCACCCGGTCGGTCTAGGCTCCGTGGGCAGTCCGTTACCGGAACCCTCAGGGATTACACCAAATATTTTACTTTCTGTGTCTCTTTCTCTGACTCTGTCTCTCGTTCTCTCTGTGAGTCTCTGCCTGCTTCAGTCTCTCAGCCTCTGACTGTCTCTGTCTCTCAGTCTCTGTCAATCTGTCTCTGTGTCTCTGTTAATCTCTACCTCTCTCCATTTCTCTTGGGGGGGGTGTGTCTGTCTGTCTGTCTGTCGGTCTTGTCTCTCTGTCTCAATCTCTGTCTCTCTCTGTTTCTGTCTGTGTGTGTGTGTCTTTGTGTCTCTGTTTCTGTGTCTCTGTCTCTGTGTGTGTCTCTCTCTCTGTGTCTCTGTCTCTGTCTCTGTCTCTCTCTCTCCCCACCCCGACACAAAACTTCTTAGCGCTGCCAATCTAAAACCGAATAGCTTTCTGGCCTCTAGAGGCCCTTGGCCACTTTGGGGGACATTTGTGATCCAAAGCGCCCAAGAAATGGTCTCAGGGCAGGAGGTTCGACGTGGAAGGCTGAAATCTATAGTGGCTTGAAGATTCACTTAACAGTCAATCAACCAAACCCCGTTGCGGACCATAAAAGCTAGCCCTGAAAATTATTGTCTTACATTTCCATACTTAGAATCCTGGAAGTTAATATCTAGCAGTCTTCTCAGAGATTTAGTTCAAGACCTTCTTTTTAGACACCCAGAGGTAGGTGTTTGATTCGATGTAACAAAACTAATCACGAGAAGAGCTGGAATCGGAACCCAGATACTCTTTTCAAATCGCTTTCACATATACTTTGCTCTTCTTTGTGGTAGAAGTGGGGGAAGGTGGTGGTGATGTGGTAATGAAAAGCATAATGTGTACAATAGATTAATATTGAGTTTAACAAACATTGCAAAATATCAGAGAAAGGAAATGGTTGTTAAAAAAAACCATCGGAAAAAATGGATAGCATTATATAAAAAAAATTAGGTTAGATCAAGATTTTACTATATATGCTACAATAAACTCCAAGCGGATAAAGGGAATAAAATTTAAGGTCATTAAATAGAGGAAAGAGGAAACGTCTATTAGAGGAAAACAAAATACTTATTTCTGGCAACACTCTAAGGCTATAAATTACAAACCAGTTTCCAACCTGTGTTGGTAAAAGACAGTACTCCATTACAAAGATTCCTACACAGACGAAATTACAGGTCCAGATATCATACATAGATATTTATATGTGCATCATACACATATACAGATTATACATGCATATATCCATCTATACGTAGATACATGTGCATGAGGATTTATATATGTACGTATTTACTCATACGTGTAAATCTAAGTGTAAATATAAATTGTCTGTGGACATGTATATACACATTTATATGATTCTGAACCTGTGATTCCAGTGGTAATGTAGGAAATCTCTCTGGTGAGGAAACCCTACCGACTTAAGCCCGAAACTGGTCTGTAATTTACAGCCTTACTGTCAAAAACAAGCGTATTATACGCGTACATAATACTATCCGTACACACACAATATGATTTTGCTCTGAGTTCTTTGGGTAGGCGTCACGTCTTATGTGGTTTTTTTTTATTGGGTAACAATGTTTTCCAATAATTGACGAAGATCCATACCTACTGAATTAAGCGTGAGTGGGCCGACGCTGATCTCACGGCAAGAACACAGACTGACAAAGAGACACAGAACAGACAGGCAGAGGGACGACATTTACATAAAATAGATTTTTTTTGTTTTAATTCCCTGCCCACTCTAGGAAGCTCATTTGCGGAGACAGGTTCCAGTCAGAGGAAGGAGTCAGGCTTGGAGACTGCAAGTGTCCTCCACGGAGAGCAGGCCAGCTCACAATACAATATGCTACCAAGGCCAGTGTCCTCCGCAGGCAGAATGCCGAAGTCACGCCGCAGGCCGAACTCCCGCCCGGGGCCCGGGACCCATCGGCCTGGAGGAAATCAGGAAGGGTTAGAGTGGGAGGGGATCTGACCACTCTACCTCCTTCGCTAGCAGCAGC